CATAAGTTTCCCGAAGTTTAAGACCAGATTTGAGTTCATTTGCATCGATGGCCACGACTTATATTCGGCGTTGGATTCGGCGAAAGTGGCGGATCTATTGCTGTGTCTGCACTCCAGTGACCCGAACAGTACCACCGCTGACGACAGCGACGGTCACCCACTCCTGACCGCCATTTACAGCCACTTCTTGCCCACAACTGTTCACGTGATTTACGGCTTAAACGCTTTGCCGCCGAAGAAGCGAACGGACACCAAGAAAGCGGTTCAGAAGTTTGTCGACAATAGGTTCGCCAACACTGAAAAGGTGCGATCGGTTGACACCGCCGCTGACGCCACACAACTCATCCATTATTTGTCAAACTGTCGCCGAAGAGTCAGCGCTTTTCGTAGACATCGACCGCAAGTGTTGACCGAACGGCTCGAATACGTGCCGAACGGTGCTGAAGATCTAGAGAGGGGTACTCTTAAGGTCACGGGTTATGTCCGGAACAGGTGTCTGGACGTGAACTCATTGATCCACATCGCGGGATATGGCGACTACCAGTTGTCGGAAATTGAAGTGTTAACTGATCCAAACCCGATGTCCACAACCAGACAATCCACTAAATCGAGTGATGAGTCGATGGCTACGGACCAGAAGAATAATCTTAAGTTTGTCTTAAGACCAGATCCGTTGAAACAACAGGCGCTTGACTTTGAGAACATTCCGGATCCGATGTCCGGCGAACAGACGTGGCCTACAGATGAAGAACTAATGGCTGCTGAGGCAGAGAACAAGAATAAAGTGGTGAAACGGGTGCCAAAGGGGACGTCCGATTATCAGGCGGCTTGGATTGTGGATAATAGCGATGAAAGCGATGGTAAAGATAGTGATAACGACTCTGAAGACTCAGACGAAGGATCAGATGAGGAGCCAATGGAAGCGATTAAAGAAGACGAAGAAGAGAGTGACGCGAGTGATGCCGAAGATATGGAGGACATGGAGACGATGTCAGTGACCACTACTGGGCCTACAAATGACGCTAATTATGACCAGAAACTGGACTTAACTGAAGAACAGACGGCGCTCCAGAAGTTTAAGGCTCAGCGACAGTACGAGCTCTGGCCGGACGAAGTGGACACACCTACCGACCAACCTGCGCGCCAACGGTTCCAGCGGTTTAGAGGACTCAAGAGTTTCCGGACGAGTCCTTGGGATCCGATGGAGAATCTGCCCGAAGACTACGCGAAATGCTTTCAGTTCGAGAACTTCCAGAGGACTAAACGCCGTGTTCTGAACGCTGGATCGGCTACGGGTGATGAGCCTACTGGCGCTCAAAACGGTTGGTTCGTTTGCGTACACGTGAAGGACTGTCCGAAACTTGTCTACCAGTCCTATGCGGACAATCGGAAACCATTGCTATTAAACGGTCTCTTAGAACACGAGCACCGGATGTCTGTCCAGAATCTGGTGATCCGAAAGCACCCGTCGTTCGGCTCGGAACCCATCCAATCGAAGGAGTCACTGGTTTTCCACGTCGGGTGCCGTCGATTCCGGGCGGCGCCGGTATTCTCGGCCCACACTAACGGAGACAAACATAAGTTGGAAAAGTATATGAGAGCCGACGCACCAGTGGTGGCCACACTGTACGCCCCCATAACGTTCCCACCCGCGTCCGTATTGGTCTATAAGTCCTATAGCGACGGTAGAGCTGATCAACTGGTGGCCACCGGTTCCTTATTAAGCTGTAATCCCTCGCGAGTAGTGACTAAACGTGTGGTATTGAGTGGACACCCGTTTAAGATTAACCGGAAGCACGCGGTGGTGCGGTATATGTTCTTCAATAGGGAAGACATCCAGTGGTTTAAACCGATTGAGTTGAGGACCAAATATGGACGAAAGGGTCACATTCGGGAACCGCTCGGAACTCACGGACACATGAAGTGTGTATTTGATCGACAACTCAATAGTCAGGACACAGTCCTCATGAATCTATATAAGCGAGTGTTTCCGAAGTGGACATACGAACCACTGCTGGCATCGACTTGTGGTGCAGGTCCGGTGGTGGAACCGATTGGTGATGATATGAATTGAGTGATTATCTGGTTATTAAGTGTTTTTGTAATAAATGATGAAAAATTTATTATTTTAATGATTATTTAATTAAACATTTTTTTTGGTAATATTTGTGACAAAATTACCATGATTATGGTAAATTGAAAATAAATTGTATCTTATTTTTCGTGTTTATTGAAGTTTTTTATGTTATAATTAGTGACAAAACTGTTAATTAAAATAGAAATGGAGTTAAATTATATATTTCTAAACATTTAGTGAGTAATAAATTATTACTAATAATTGCATCGATATTAAAGTCATTAAAAGTGTTTTCGTATTAATTGTAATGAAATGACTATTTGAGACAAATGTCGATAAAAACCACTAAAATGAGTGGACAGTTGTCTCAAACGGACTCCAAGTCCCTCAAAATACTCTGTAACTTGTGAGCGGCCGACTCGTACTCAGCCCTCAGCTCAATGGACCGGTCCTTCAGATCGGACAGTCGTGTCTCAATCCTTGCCACAGTCTTCCAGAGCTCCAACTGATCCAGACTTTCATCGTTCGACGGCTTGAGTTGGGCGTTGAAGTGTCGGCGCGCCCGCAGGTATTGGATCTTCAGTACGAATCGTATGCACTGTTTGTCGGATTCATTCAATTGGGACCGCTTTTTGGCCACCGATGACCACACGATTGAGCGCCGGGAGGGCTCGGAGTCGACGGCGTAACAGCGCCACAGGGTTTGGATGAGTTTGGATGCGGCCGGTCTGTGAAGCACTGACTTCTGCTGTTCCTTCAGTTTGATGGCCAGTCCGGTGCCGAAGATATTGGCCGGCAGTTGGAAGATACAGATCCCACAGAAGGCCAGTACGCACGTCAACACCCGTCCCCATCGGGTTCTGGGAGTTATGTCGCCGTAACTGATGGCAAAAGTTGTCTCAGTTTACAATCTACAACCCCTGCCCTCCCCTTCCCGTCAAACACGTACCCAATTNAGATACAGATCCCACAGAAGGCCAGTACGCACGTCAACACCCGTCCCCATCGGGTTTTGGGAGTTATATCGCCGTAACTGATGGTAAAAGTTGTCTCAGTTTACAATCTACAACCCCTGCCCTCCCCTGCCCTCCCATTCCCGTCAAACACGTACCCAATTGTGGTGAGTGTGATGTACCCGAACCAGAAGGCGTCGAATATTCCGTGTTCGCCATCCCTTTCCATCTCCTGAAGGAATATACTCTGACTGATGAGCACCAGTATTATGGCGGCGAATATCAACGCAATGTACAGCTGTTGGAACTGATCGACGATTGTACTGACCATCAGTCGCAACAGTGGAAGCATTAGTCGATACAATTGAAACACTTGGACCACATGGAGGAGTCGTAAGAGTATGCCGACAGTGCCCTCGAATTCATGCATATATATGAATACTGTGAATGTGATGACACCGATCAGGTCTAGGGCTCGGAGGTAGCCATAAGACTGCAAGTATTGATATTTGCCGGACCAGCCCTGGTATGAGACAATGCAATCCGATGACCACAACCGTAGGATTAATTCAATGGTTAGTAGAGCTGAGGGTTAAGAGGGACTGGTATTATTGGTATTATCTATTTAATTGTCTCTAGATACAGATCCCACAGAAGGCCAGTACGCACGTCAACACCCGTCCCCATCGGGTTTTGGGAGTTATATCGCCGTAACTGATGGTAAAAGTTGTCTCAGTTTACAATCTACAACCCCTGCCCTCCCC